TCTCGGTCCCTGATCTAAGCATATGATCCTTTTTGACCACTGATTTGGCATGCTGGACAGTGTCAATGGGTGCCCATTTCTTATCTGTCAACGGTAACAAACCCAACAAGTAATTTACCTATTTATCTATATCTATATCTATATCTATATCAATATATGAGAGTTCTTGAGATCGAACAAATCTCATCCGTTGAACTGCATCTATTCAACGGTCTATGTCGCCTGGTATTTAGCACCTCCACCTTTTAATATTACGCCGAATATTAATGTCAACATTAACCACTACCTAATATTAACATGCAATTTATATCTAATGTCAATAAACATGCAACTTGTATCTTGCCTAATACTAACGCGCAATACAATTAGTATCTTATCTAATATTAATGTGCATTGCACATGCAGTTACTCGTGATGTAGAACATAGCTGGCCAAATGGGCCGGCCCGACCCGGCATGGCCCGGCCGATTGTAATCATGCCTGCCACGGCCCGGCCCCTAGGCACAATTATGATATGGGTCGTGCCGTGCCGGCGCGCGTGCTGCAGCCTGCAGCCCAGATACGGCCCAACTGCTAATCGGGCTGGGCCGCCGGCACATCAGGGACGCTAGTCCGGCTGCTATTTGGCGCACTGGGCGTTTTTAGCCTATTTTTACCTGGGCCGTATAGAGCTATAAAAAATAAAAAAAAAATCGGGTTGTTCCGTGCCGGCACGTGTGCTCAGCCTAGCAGCCCAAGCACAGCCCAGGGCATGCTGCGTGCTGGCCCCGGCCCGTTTAGCCCATGCCGTGCCGGTGTGCTTGCGGGCCGGCCTGGTTGGCCCTACCCATTTGACCAGCTATAATCTAGAAAGGAAAACACGTGGCTTCCTCTAGTCGACACAGGCAGCGAGTCTGACCTAGACTCCACCTCCCATTATTCATCCGTCCTTCCCTAGCTGTAGCTGAGCTAGCCGATGGTAAATCTGGCCATGCTTTTGAGGAGAGCAGCGGCGAGGCGTTTCCTTCCGGCGTTGTCTGGTCAGCTGGGTCTAGACACCTGGTCTGACCCGGCGAGCAACACAGTCGGGTAGCGCTTTGTCCAGACAAGTTGTTCAGCCGGGAGGCGTGCGAAGTGCAAGGCGCGATGTGGTGCGTGCACGCGATCTTGGCTAGGGATGTTGTGGATCTGGCGTCTGCTGGTGGGCGAGGTCTGCAGGTTACCCGGCGGTGGTTGGCGGATCTATTGGCGCAAGGTTGTATGGTGGCTGGTGTTGGGAAAAGTAGTAATATCAAAATTTTCTTACGCACACGCAAGATCATGGTGATGCATAACAACGAGAGGGGAGAGTGTGTCCGTGTACCCTCGTAGACCGAAAGCGGAAGCGTTAGCACAACGCGGTTGATATAGTCGTACGTCTTCACGATCCGACCGATCAAGTACCAAACGCACGGCACCTCCGAATTCTGCACACGTTCAACTCGATGACGTTCCTCGAACTCCGATCCAGCCGAGTGTCGAGGGAGAGTTCCGTCAGCACGACGGCGTGGCGACGATCTTGATGTTCTACCGTCGCAGGGCTTCGCCTAAGCACCGCTACAATATTATCGAGGAGGACTATGGTGGAGGGGGGCACCGCACACGGCTAAGAGGTCAAGAGATCAATTGTTGTTCTGTCTAGAGGTGTCCCCCTGCCCCCGTATATAAAGGAGTGGAGGAGGGGGAAAGGGCCGGCCCCTATGGCGCGCCCTGGAGGAGTCCTACTCCCACCGGGAGTAGGATTCCTCCCCTTCCATGTAGTAGGAGTAGGAGACAAGGAAGGGGGAGAGGGAAGAGAAGGAAGGAGGGGGCGCCGCCCCTCCCCCTAGTTCAATTCGGACTAGTCATTGGGGGGGGGGGGGGGCGCGGCCTGCCTCTCTCTCTCCCCTAAAGCCCAATAAGGCACATATACTTCTTCCCCCGTATTCCCGTAACTCCCCGGTACTCTGAAAAAATACCTGAACCATTCGGAACCTTTCGGGTGTCCGAATATAGTCATCCAATATATCGATCTTTACGTTTCGAGAACTATGTAGACATGACCGAGACATGTTTCCGGTCAATAAGCAATAGCGGAACCTGGATGCTCATATTGGCTCCTACATATTCTACGAAGATCTTTATCGGTCAAACCGCATAACAACATACGTTGTTCCCTTCGTCATCGGTATGTTACTTGCCCGAGATTCGATCGTCGGTATCTCAATACCTAGTTCAATCTCGTTACCGGCAAGTCTCTTTACTCGTTACGTAATGCATCATCCCGCAACCAACTCATTAGCCACATTGCTTGCAAGGCTTATAGTGATGTGCATTACCGAGAGGGCCCAGAGATACCTCTCCGACAATCGGAGTGACAAATCCTAATCTCGAAATATGCCAACTCAACATGTACCTTCGGAGACACCTGTAGAGCTCCTTTATAATCACCCAGTTACATTGTGACATTTGGTAGCACACAAAGTGTTCCTCCGGTAAACGAGAGTTGCATAATCTCATAGTCATAGGAACATATATAAGTCATGAAGAAAGCAATAGCAACATAGTCCCTCCGTTTTTTTAGTCCGTATATAAGGTTTGGTCAAAGTCAAGCTTTGTAAAGTTTGACTAAGTTTATATTAAAAAATATAAACATTGACAATATGAAATTAATATTACCAGATGCACTACGAAATGTATTTTCATACTATATAGTTTTAATATTGTAGATGTTCATATTTTTGTATATAAATTTGGTCAAACTTTGTGTAGGTTGACTTTGATCAAATCTTATATGCGGAGTAAAAAGAAACGGAGGGAGTACTAAACGATCGAGTGCTAAGCTAACGGAATGGGTCAAGTCAATCACATCATTCTTCTAATGATGTGATCCCGTTAATCAAATGACAACTCATGTCTATGGCTAAGAAACACAACCATCTTTGATCAACAAGCTAGTCAAGTAGAGGCATACTAGTGACACTATGTTTGTCTATATATTCACACATGTATTATGTTTCCGGTTAATACAATTGTAGCATAAATAATAAACATTTATCATGAAATAAGAAAATAAATAATAACTTTATTATTGCCTCTAGGGTATATATTTCCTTCAGCTGGTTGGCACGAGGTGGGGCCATGGCGGCTAGTAGAGTATACGAGTCGGTGCCCTAGCGAGGAGCTCCTGGCCAGGGGCCTGCAATGGCCTAGGTTGCTCAGTCTAATAACACTCTTACCCTCAGATCTAGAGCGCCCAAGGCAGTGTGCGATAGCAGGCGGGCCGCGTTTCCTCTGGTGGCTCGCTCTTGCGCTCTAGCTAGGACGTGCTACTCATACTAGATGACCCGGTTGCGCCAATGGCGCAAGAAGCGAATTAGAAAAAAAATGTTAGTAGTGAGTAAGAGATATAACTCAAAATATAATGCAATGTGGGTTGTATTACATCATGTATTAACCACAAATCATGAAATCAATACCAAGAGGGCAAAATTGACAAATTTGACCTACAAACGAAATCAAATCACAGAATGAACTGCTCGTGAAACTATTTCACGCGGCTGACCTTTTTGTGTGACGCCCAACACGAACGCGCCACACTACACTATGCAACGCCTCGCAGATAGGCGTTGCACGCCTAGCCAGCGTATGTGATCCAAAAATTACTAAATCAGTGTGCAGCGCCTGAGAGCTAGGCGCCACACTATACAATGTAGCGCCTAGCTTCTAGGCGTTGCACTAGTGGTTGTTTCATTTTGTAGTGCAACCACTAGTGCAGCGCCTGAGAGCTAGGCGCCACACTATACAGTGCAGCGCCTAGCTCGTAGGCTCTGCACAATGACTTAACAATTTTTAGACAGTTTGGGATGCAACGCTGGCCAGACGTGTAGCACCTATCTATGAGGCGTTGCATAATGTAGTGTGGCGCCTTCGTGTCGGGCGTCACATAAAAAGGTTAACCGCGTGAAATAGTTTCACGGGTAGTTCATTCTGTAATTTGATTTCGTCCACAGTTCAAATTTGTCCAATTTGCCTACCAAGAGAACCAAATAATGTCACCACCTCTGTACTAACAACCAACATTTTAGCACAAGGAGTATCACAGGAATGTTTACTTGCGCACATTAGGAGTATCACAATTACAGCTAAAGAGGCATTGTCCTCACTGCTGTCCTTGAGCCCTTCACAAGGAGAGTTCCAAGCTTCGCAACTTCTTCCTCCAGCTCTGCACATGACCCTCAATTACGAACCTCATCCCTCAGCTATGATTATTTTAAGATGAAATCAACATGCTATTTCTGTCACATGGAACATGTTTAGAATTTAGTCAGTCTCACTAATCTTTCCGCTACAAAGGCAAAAATAAAAATGGCATGATCAATAACTAAAAAACTGAAACAATAATGCTTGTAGCATTAAAAAACCGAGAAAGTGAATTGAGGACAACAGAACAATTATTTGTAACAACGGCAAGCTTGGCTGATGCAAAATGATCACTCTGAAACTATATCTTTAGAACCAAATTAAAAAGGAACAAAATAATCTAATACTCCCTCCATTCCAAAATAACTGTCTCAACTTTGTACAAAAACATCATGTATCTTTAGGACCAATTTTTAGACCATGGTACCACATAAATCAAGAATTAGACATGTGAGATTGCAAAGTATCCGTGGTCCGTTACCATGTCACACCAAGGATTTGCACATATAACCTGAAATAACTGCAACTAGCTTGAAGTCTGAAATCTACCGGGTGACAAACAAAAGCAATACCACCAAACCTTATTCTTATTGGACGAGCACAAGATTTATGAGAAGATAACACACAAAAAATCCTATTTGGTTTCTGGATGCATGCACTTTCTGGATTATTGTGCACATCAAAACATGGAAGAACATTCCTAGGAGAGCCATTGTAGCACAACTAAGTAAACCAAAAATCAAAAAAGAGAAGTGAGTTTGTATCATGTAATTTAGCAATGTATCAGCCCATATCACCATTTATTTTTCAGAGACCAAAGAAAATGACACAAGTTTTCCTATTCTTTCCTGTACCTTTCTACAGGAATGCTCTTTATTTACGAGCGCCACACAGACTATTTCTACTTGGCGGTAGGTTGGACACAATAATCCTCGCCGCGAGCTGCAGAAGAACCACACACGCACATACGTCAGGCAAGAGACATGAACACGGGCACCGTGAGGGGGGAACGGAACGGACCGGAAGGGGAGAGACAAATCAAAAGAGGGAACGTACGGAGGCATAGTCAGGCTGGGAGGCGGTGAGCGTGGCAGCGGTCTCGGCGGCGAGCTCGTTGAGCTGGCTGGTGGTGACACCCATGTATACCCTAACGCAGACCTTTTGCGCGATGAGCACGGGGTCGCAGTGCTCTTGTCGAAGTGCCCATAGCTGAGTTTCTTGAGCTGCACCGTGATCTTGTCGAAGTGCACCGTCTCCGTTCGCCCATCCTGCTTCACGACGTACATGGCCTCAAAAAACTAACAAAAACATACTCATGTGCATCATCCAAACAGGCAATGGTTTTGCCTGTTTGTACATCAGAATCAATAATTGAATCATCAACAGATTGGTATATGCAACATGCTTAAATATCATGCCAGGAGAAGAAGTAAATGCCACATTTATGAATAACTGAACATTATGAATGCCATGCTGCATTTTGTAATGGCAATGATCCAAGATAGTTAAATAGATGGTCATTAATAGGAATGCTCCATAGGATCTAAAGACACCTGTGCATGTTTCTTAAGTGTTCTTTCTAAAATTGGATACCCATTTAGCTCTATTAGCTTGACTTGTAGCAATGGGGATACCGCAAAGTTGATCTGTCCTAATAGTCACAGACAACAACCTTGTAGAAGATCATGCCCACCCTTGGTCCTTGGAGGGACGTCTGTTGTAGTGGTAACCACATCAGTGAACTTGAAAGGATATACATGTTCCTACATTACAGAAATGAAACAATAAGCATCTTCACAATAGGACTACATCACTCAGCCAACAGGGCATTTAACGCAAATGCATTGGCTACTGCCAACGATGTCTGTTTCTTACACAGGATAGCCATGAAATTGTTAATCGTATATAAGTACAGGAATGCAAAGAAACCATGATCATTCTACAATTGTTGAAGCAAGTTATTATCTTTCAAGAAATCCTATAGAAAATAAGCAATGTAAAAAGGGGAAACAACTAGGCACGCACTAAGAAACTGATGAACAATATCTGTCCAACTAAACTTCTACACCTAATGAAATCAATATCCTTGCAGAGGGCCCTTTATAATTGGAACAAAGAAACAATTTTAAAAAATAGGGCCCCTCTATTATCACCATAGTCTAGCAGATTAATTTAACACAATTTAGGATGAGTAGAACTATGATATTAAAACTGAACTAATTGTTCTTGCTACTTGTGCTTTCTGATGCCTTGTACACATTCATATATGATACAGTAACACTGGCAGCAATTTCTCAAGCGCAAGAACACATATATTTTCCAACTAAAAAATTGTATCTAAAGTCCCCCCAAAAGCTGACTTAGAATCTAATCAAATAAGTCAAAAACTCTTTTTTAGACTAAACAAGTAAAATCCAACCTTCTTGTGGCTACAGTTTAGTCTTCGCTAGAATTTAATCTAACAAGCAGAAACCTCATCAGAATTTAATCCAGAATATGAACGACAATAAAACAATTCTAAGCAAACAGGAGGAAGAGGGGAGCAAAGCTGACAGGGAAAGGTTGTCGGGGCGTGCTGAGGGCTTGCTTTCAGAAAAACTCTCCCACAGGCTTGCTCCACACTCACTGTTGCTCTTGACCGTGACCGTAAATTTCTGGGAATATATGTTCCCTCTATATATTTATGCTAGATTTTTGGAGAGATGCATAACATAATATCTTTCAGTTTCAAATCCATGAGTTTGTGTAGATTTCGTTTGTAAAACTTTGTATAGATTAGGTTCTGAACTATCTTTATGAAACCTTTCGTAAGATCTGAAGTCAATCCTGTCAATTGTGTAAAGATCCGACGAATAGATGGGCAAGGAAACCAAGTGGTGTCCGGGGAGTGATGGCTCGGATAGCTTGGTAATGATATCAGTAAGTAATTATTGTGCAAACAATAACTAATGCAGGTTCCAGGATCTCGTGTGTTGCTGCTGATTACCGAAGGCATAATAGACAAACTCTAATTGATCTAGCTAGTCCAGGCACGACAAGAATGGGCCGCTGCATTGTAAGGTATATGCAAGATTCAGAAACATATGATTTTGTTACTTTTGACTCATAACTGAACGAAGCTAGGCACCCGAATACCATGCAAGAATCCAGAGGGAAGCATAGCGCAAGTGCGACCCTCGCTGACCACCTAGAGGCACGGTAGCAGTAATGCACCAAGATCTGTCTATTCAAGAGGTAAACAAGAACACATCCTCGTTTGATATCATGATATGCAAGCAAATTTCAAGCACACAGGGTTGATATGCAAACAAATATCACACACACGGGGAGACCGCCCAAACAAGCACATCAGCTCACATCACTTTTAGTAGACAAAAACTGAGCAAGAGAGACCCAACCTTGTTGATAATGACACGGAGGACCCAACAAATAGAGAACATAGATCAGCCTGCAAGAAGAAAGAAAAGAGAGAATGAACAACATACCAGCTCATAGACATTTCATGAAACACGTCAGGAGCATTGTATCGGAAGAACACCTGACCTTCGTATGATAATAATGAACAACAGTAGAATGGAAGGATCAGTGGCAAATTGAACGAATGAGAGCAACCCCGACGATCTAAAGCTTCAGACCACCAATATCATCATAAACCATGTTTGTTGGCATTGCTAAAAAAACAGTAGAATAAGCAAAGAAAATTTCAGTTAACCACATGGTACACAAACAAAGGGCATTTAAATCCCCAAACCTGAAGATATGCTACAGGAGCACATGTACATTTGATAAAAACTAATGTACATGTATATGCATGGTTACTAAATATGGCAACAATATATATGGCACAATAATTTACCCCCGTCACTGAAATCTGAAGTCAGTGTGTTTATACACCCAGCTAAAAATCTAGGAAATGCAAAATAAGAATCTGAATGCCAAATAAAAATTAATCTGGCTGGGCAACTCAGCTACTCCGAGCTCCCCCAGATTGAACACTCGCTGGTCGCCCGATTCTGTCTTTTACATCATCTGAGCTGTCTAATTTTCACAATCTATTTTCACTTCGTGGTTATTTTTCCTCTTCTATGACTGGTGGGCTTATTATTGTGCTTTACCTGATTAGTGATTTGAATGATTAGTAATTTACCTGAGAGTATAAGTGTCACAAGTATATTCATTAACTGCCCTCGTACAACCTGCAAATTGATTATGGAATGAGCTTCTGACGGGAAATAGAAAACAAAAAACACACAAGAACAGTAGGTACCTGACATAGCTCTAGCATGGTAAACTGTTTTGAGTGCTTCCAGTCATCTTTGGTGCTGACTTGTATCTGACCATTGCCCTGCTCATCGAGATCACTGTTGCACCGCGACTCACGGCAAGGCCCATTTGCCAAGTATGCTTCAACTGCCAACAGACAAGCAATTTTGCATAAACCAATTGAGGCCTTTTCACTAATTAAATCTACAAAACCATTTAGTAAAACCCACTGGAACTATCCGACTATAGGACTAAATCAATGAAACATAACAGCAGCTGCAGAAACCACTCTAGACCTTTTTCACAAACTAAAGGCAACATTTTAGGTTCTAATTAACCCTGGGGGCTGCAGCTGCTGTTATGAAAATCACTCTCTTCCTATCAATTTTCAGAAAATGGTTTAGAGTGGTTTATGAAAATGGTCCAAAGTGGGTCCTGACTAAATTGATAGGAAGAGAAGGAATGGGGGTGTTCTAGAACGATTGCTACACATATGGCATACATCTGAAAAGGGAAAAAAGAACACCCTAAATACAAACCTGAAGAAAACAGGATAAAATAACCCGATGTATGAACTGTAAACTGATGAGATTATTAGTAGACATGATAAAATATGTATGTACAGGTAATTAATTAATAGATTATGAATAGCGAGGATGAAGTTAAATCAAATCTGACAGAAATATGTGCAAAGAACAGCAAGACCCGTCATCCACGCTGGCCATTCCCATCCACGGGATGAGAGAGACAGTGTGTGTACTGTGTACGCAAGGATTTGAGGGGCTGGAGGAACAGATGAGAATCAAGGAAAAGGGAAGGGCAGGAGAATCCACACTTTGGTCCTCTGACCGCTGCAACCCGTGGTCGAAGGTGAAGAGGCGGTGGTGCAGGGGTGGTTGGGGGATTTTTTCGGGGCTCTTCGTCTAGCGGCGGTCGTCCAGGTCGAGTTCCTCCTCCGTTGCCTTCTTGGCAGTGAGCGCCCGGGGCGCCGTTGAGCTCGTCCTCCCGCGGCTTCCTCACGACGGCAGCTCCCGGCGCCGCTCACCTACGAGCGCAGCGGCAACGACGGGGCCGGCGGATCTGCGAGCGCCATGGCCATGGCCGTCGCCTGACCCGCTCGCTCTCCCTCTTCTCTTCCCTTCCCTTCCCTTTTGAAAACGGAAGGGGGGAGGTTGCAGGCGGAGGCTGGCCGGAGGAGACGGGCGCGAGTGACCGCGGCTGGCCGGGTGGAGGAGACAACAACAGCGGGGCAGGGAGGTGGGCGCGGTCTAGCTAGGGTTCGGAGGTAGAGAGAAGAGAGGGGCTCGACGCGAGTGCGAGATGGGTAGAAGGCTAGGTTACCTCCACCGGAGCAGCTGCCTTTTTATACGCCTGTATGCGAAATGATGAAAATGCCATCGGCGGGGCACGGAATTAACAGGTGATGGCATGAGCACTATTCATAGCGTTTATAGGGCGACGTGGATGGCTCTGTTCTCCCTAGTAGTTCTTCAAGGTTTATATGTTTAATTCCCTTTTGAAAACGGAGGGGGAGGTTGCGGGTGGAGGCTGGCCGGAGGAGACGGGCGCGAGTGACCGCGGCTGGCCGGGTGGAGGAGACGACGGCGGCGGGGCAGGAAGGTGGGCGTGGTCTAGCTAGGGTTCAGAGGTAGAGAGAAGAGATGGGCTCGGCGCGAGTGGGGGGTGGGCAGAAGGCTAGGTTACCTCCACCGGAGCAGCTGCCTTTTTATACGCCTGTATGCGAAATGATGAAAATGTCATCGGCGGGGCATGGAATTAACAAGTGGTGGCATGAGCACTATTCATATTGTTTATAAGGCGACATGGATGGCTCTGTTCTGCCTAGCAGTTCTTCAAGGTTTATATGTTTAATCTGGTGATAGGTGTGTCCGACATTGGTTTGTAGTTTGTCTGGACGAAAGTCCTGTAATTGCTTGTTGCAGGTGATGACAATTTTTTTTCCTTGTTGGAGGCATCCTTGACAAGTTCGACACCTCTCCATCCTTGAGTTCTCCTTTCCAGG